AATCACAAAATGGAGGCCAACCACACAATTCTGGGAATCATGGCCCAGCCAAATTGAAACACACATTTTTGGGGGGACATAATTCAAACCATGACAGCTAATTTAAGGAAAAATGAATTTATTGGAAGATTACCATGTGGGTCTCACAAACAAGGATAGAGTTGGCCTTGGGAAGATCAGTAACTAAGCCCATTCCAGGGACACCTGTACCAGGAACCCTTCATGGTACCCGACTTAATTGACTCCTTCCAATTATTTTCTGTCTTCATGCTACTCCACTCAGTATTTAAATTCCTGCAAGAGAGGAGGGAGATGATTAGGTCATGTGCCAGTCTTGATGGTGAGGAAGGTAGGCTACAAGATTGATAGTCCCCCCCCCCCCAAATCACACCCAACAGCAAAGGAGAAGTTTCCTTTTGGGTAGGAAAAAAGTAACACATGTCCATTTTATCAACTCTCTTAAGCTGTTACACCTTGTTCTACAGGCAGAGAAGTATTGGTTCTCTCTTGACTTTGAATCTGACTCTAGCTGTGCATGATAGGTTTCAGTCTGGATTTATTAGGATGGATCTAGGAGAGGAGAGTATTGTCAATTGATTTTATGTGTCTAGCCTTAAGGATTTTATTTTTATGCTATGTATTGGGTGCCATATAAATAGCTATTTGGCAGTGGATTATCTATAGACCATGATACCATGGAGCTTTCTTTCAAGGAAAGAGAAGAGCTCACTTTTTTCTTGGTGTTGGCCATTAGATTTGGAGGGGGCCACAGTTCCAAAGCTTTTGGACTGTACTTCTGGAAAGGCCCTTCATTTATATATCACACAGATATTTATTGAGATCTTTTGTGTTCCAGATACTCTGTTAGATACAGAGGATACTAAGAAAGAAGACTAAGCTATAACTCCTGCCTTTTGAGGAGCTCATAGTCTAGTGGGAGACCAGTAGAGAAGAAAAAAATTATAGAACAAGTTATTTGATAATGGGAGTAGATTTTGGGATTCCTAGCAATCTAGAAGATGATGGTTGGGTATCTTAGCAGTCCATTGGCTTTGGGGAGATGGCAAGAACAGATTGATATGTTTTCATTCAACAGACATTTATCAAACAATTAATATATGGTGGTCTTAGTGTGGTAGTTGCCTGGGATAATAAGTCACCATTTACTGAGAGTTTACTCTATACCATCACCATGCTGCATGCTTGGTTCAAAGATGAATAAGATCGAGTCTTTGCCCTCAAGAAGTTCATGTCTACTGAAAGGAGATGGATATGAAAAGAAGTAGATGCAATAAAAGTGTTACAGGTGATAAAATATAGCAGAGGTAAAAAAATGGGAGGCATCAACTCTACTTAAGAAGTTCAGGAAAAGCTTCCCAGAGTAGAAATTTTAGCTGAATCTTAAAAGATG